CTCCCGGGCTGTCCCGGCGCGGCTCACACGGCCGACACCTGCTCGTCCTCTGCGGGGCGGCGGGGGAAAGGGAGACACTCGTGAGGCGGCGCCCGGCGGGGCGCACGGAAACCCGTTTCCTAGGCAGCTCTCGGCAATTCTAACGGTTTAGACACGCGTGCTCTTCAAGTACATGCACATGATACCGAACACATTCGTGTTGACTGACCGAACACTTGCATTTAAGTTCATGGCAGCACGTTGCACAATAGCATGTGCCTTTTCTATAATGCTGCCATGTACATAAAAAAGACACAGAAATGTCAGAAAATGGTTATCTGTGAGTGCCGATTACCAAGTCATTTTCCCTTATGTCTGGCTTTTTACGTCATGGCTGTGTAATGAAGACCCTTAAACTGAAAACCTAAAAAAAGGGCCTCCCTTCTCAACCTCAATCAATCCAAATTCAGCAGATTTGTAAAAAGGCAGCAAAGGTGTTACACACGCTGGGTGTGCTGGTGTAGCCTATACTCCCAGCACTGGGAGGCTGAGGCAGGAGGATCTCAAGTTCCAGCTCAGCACAGGCAACTTAGAACACATCTCAAAAATGAATGAAGAAAGATGGGATAGCTCAGTGAGCAGGGCCTGCGTTCAGTCCACACCACCTTTAAGATAAAGTTTCGGAGGGGCTGGGGATTTAGCTCAGCGGCAAAAGCGCCTGTCTGGCAAGCGCAAGGTCGTGAGTTCGGTTCCCGGTACCGGAGAAAAAACAAAAACAAAAACAAAAACAAAAACAAAAACAAAAAAAAAAAAAAAGTTTCGGAGAATGTGTGGATCTTTATTAAGTTTTCACTGCCCAGAGTCCCGTATATAAAGTCCTAATGTAACGGAAAACTTAGCTATCCATTTCATAGCTCAAAATGTTTCCGTAAGTTCTTGAAAACAGCACACCCTTCTCAGGTTTTCACACTTACCTGAAAATGGGGCCACAGAGGGAGCCTACTTCCTAAGAATTAGAGAAGGTGTGCAGGCCGCTGCCGAGCGCTGCAGGGAAGCAAGGGTGCCTGCCCACGGAGGGCAGCAGGGAAGGCCCTGCCCTGCCCAGTCCTGCCCTACCCAGGCCCCCCCCCCCCGGCCCCACCGCCTGGCCGCCCACACCTACCGTCCTACTCAGCGGAGAAGCCCTGGGCCTGGTAGGGCGCCAGGCGTGGGTCGGTCTCGCCTGGCTTGTGCCACTGCGGCCTGGGGCCTGGCCTGGGGCCCGGTGCCGAGCTGGCGGCCTCTGTGGGGCGCGCCACCATGCGTGAGCGCTGCAGGGCCACGGTGTAGTCGGGCGGCCTGCGCGCCGGGTGTGGCGCGGCCTCAAAGTCGGCGATTGGGATGCCCACGTAGCCTGGCGGCGTAGGCGGCGGCTCCCGGTACCGGCCCTCCTTCCGTGCTGCAAGGAAGTGGGACAGGACAGTTAGTGACAGGACAGTTAGTGCAGGGAGCACCGTGCCCACCGCGCGAGACCGCTGGACTCCAGGCAATGCACAGCGCAGCACTGCGGCAACGAACGCCGCCTCGCCCCACTGCCTGCCCTGCGCTGCCCAGCGTGCAGCGAGGTGAGCCCTGACCTCGGATGCGCGGGGACTGGGGCTGTGCGCCCGCCCCTGTCCTGCTCAGTTCCTGCCCAGGGCCAGGTGCTGACCCCTCCAGGACCTGGAGCTCCACCTCCACTGGAGAACCAGCACACGGCTTCCTGGCCTCAGAGTTCTCTTTGGAAAACAGGGCAGTAAAAGAAATTGGGAAAAGTATTGCCCCCTCCGCCCCCCCCCAAAAAAGCCAATTTAAAAATTAAAACTGGCTGGGTGAGGCGGTGCACACCTGTAATCCCAGCACTTGGGAGGCTGAGGCAGAAGGATCGTTTCCAGTTCAAGGCCAGCCTGGGTTACAAAGTGAGCTCAAGACCAGCCTGAACTGCATAGTGAGACCCTGTCTCAAAAAGACAAAACAAAAACAAAAACAAAACTCTAAAACTGTAAGATTTTTTTTTTGAAAATCCTTTTATTAATGTTGATTAACTATATGGAACTTATGAAAGAAAATAAAACTAAACTTTCGTGTTTTTCAGCTTTTAACTTAAATGTTAGGAACTAAAACATCATCCTTTCTTCACACTAAAAATCCTAGTAATCAGTTTAACAGAAAATGCTTTAAGATGATTAAGCTACAGATATGTTTAATGAATATGCTTAACCGTTCTCTCCTTATTCACTGTGGAAGCTATCAACTCTGACATCTACTCGTGACTGCATGGCAAAGCACACCTCAGGATCTTAGTGGGGTGTGGAGGGGCGAGGCCAGGGAGAGGCCAGCCTGGGCTACAGAGAGCATCCCTGTCCCGAAAACGCAACAGAATCAGAACCAGAACCAGAACCAGAACCAAAGCAACCACACCTTCTCCACTAATGAAAGTGATGCTTGTCATTCCCCATTAATAAAAGTGTCTCTTGTAATCATTTCAGAAGTTCTCCTTCTATATCCTCTGCTCTATTCTCACATTTCCATTACAGAGATGTCAAGTACTCCCCAGGAGATACATGTTTCCCATGGTTCTGGGACCCAGGGACACCGGCACCTTTGCATCTGAAGCAGCAGCAGCACCTCCCAGGTCCCTGCGACACCGTCCCGGCACTGCGGGGGCGCCCACACAGTTTACACCCCCTGTCCTGTTCACACTGACCGCACTGAGAGAGCACTAAGTGAGCTGATGGATGGGACGGCAGGGTCCAGCACTTTGTCCATGTCACCAAGCCAGAGACAGTGACAAATCGGACTCCAAGCCCACTGCCGTCTCCCCTGCACCGCGAGCGCCTGCCCCCTGCGCCAGTGTGGCGGACAGCACTCTGCACACAAAGGCGCCTGCACAAGGGCCACCATGACGACGCTCCACGTGCGAAGGGTAAAGCTCCAAACGTAATGCAAGAGAACAAAACAAACAGCGCAAAGTGCCAATAAAAACATACTTCCTCTGTGAAGCCTGGGGACCCATCCTGGGTATTTTCAGATTACAAAAAAAAACCCCTGGGAAATGCCCACGATGACCACAGGTGGCGCTGATCACTGATGTCCACCCATGTGCTACCACTGCGCCTGCACCTGACCACGGGGCCAGAGCTCGCACCACCATCACCCCAGAGTCCCAGCCCACTGCTGCGCTGGACGCTCCGGATGGCAATGAACAACACAGGAGAACGAGCGTGCCGTGCGCGCGCACACACACACACCCGGCTTTGGGGATAACGCGATCAAAGCTTGTGTCTCCAGACTCACCAACCAGCCCCTTGGCAGTGCTCGAGGTGGCCACCACGTGGGCAGGCACAGGGCCGGGCTTGGGCTCCTCCGCCGGCACAGACGTCAGGCTGCTGCTCTCGGCCTCCAGGGAAACATCCTTCCCGCCCCTTCGCTTAATAGTGCCCGTGTCACCCTCTGAGTCTTCTCCCCAGTAGCCTGTGGAAGAGGCCCAGCTTGCCCGGGACTGGGCTTGGTCAAGACTCTCTCTGTTTTGATTCTGCCTGTTATACTTTGTGCTATGCTCAGTAAACATGACTGGGTCCACGTGGCCACTGGCGGCCCACAGGCCGGCAGGGTCCCCCGAATAATCGAAGTGAGTGTGCCCGAATGGGAGCGTCTCCCAGCTCCTCTGGTGCTGGATGGTCTGGATGTTGTCGTGCGAGCCACTGGAGCATGACGTCCAGCTCCCGCGGCCACTGTCAGCAGCGTCCAGGGACGCACGGTCGCCCTGGTCCTGGGCGAGCTCCTCGGTGCTCGGAGAAGAGATGACTGTCGCTGCAGCATACAAGCCCCGGCTCTCAGACATGGGCGCATAGGACCTGCTCGGTCAGACGACGGGAAAGAGAAAAGGGCGCAACATTACATGCCTTTGCTCCCAGAAAGGCAGCTCTCTCCTCCCTGAAAGAGGGTGCAGAGCCCTGAGCTGCGTAACAAGTCAGCACTGCCGCGTCCCGCTCCCTGACTCGGTCACTGCGTACTACAGGACACACACAGGGAAGACAGCGATGTGTAAGAAAGGGACAGCGTCCTTCGGAGGTGAAGGGCAGCTCAATACAGCCTGAGCAAGGCTGGGGACACAGCTGCAGGCCCTCAGCCGCGGCACAGAACGACTGCGCCACACAGAACAAACCTCTCTGACTGCCATGCAGCACCAGCACCAAGCACAACTAACACAACGACCGTGCCCAAGAACAACGAACTCAGCGGTAAAGTGCACGCCGGGGACAGCGCGCTGGCCACGACCGCTGGGGCAGTTGGTAGAGGGCGCGGCACCAAGCTGGGGCTGGGATGGGATGGGCGAGGCGGGATGCGCAAGGCGGTCCGGTACACCAGTACACCCACCCCAGGCTGTACTGGTCCTGCTCGAGTGTGGCCCGCCGCTCCGTCCTGCCGGCACCCAGGCCGCTCTCCACGACGCTCACAGAGTGCCTCTGCCGCCGCTCGTCGTGCAGGGAGATGGGCACGGAGTCGAACGAGGCGTTGCTGACAATGCTGGACCGGGAGGAAATCTCACTGTGACCAGAGTCTGAGAAGTTATCCACAGTGCCGCTGGGAGCCAGAGTGCAGCCTGCAGGGAGACACACGGCATGAGTGCGGACGCCGCAGGCGATGACGCGGACCCAAGTCTACACGGAGAAGCCAGAAGACAACCGTATGCATCACCGCAGAGTGGGATTTTCTAACTTACAGAGACCAGAGACTAAAAGATTACATTTTTATTCTAATGAAGTGTGAACTCCTTAATGTAAGGCGAGGGAATGAAAAAATGCATATATACACATGCTGAGAAAAGATGTACAAATCAGCACTGCTTTGCTAATCTTAGCTTCTACAAATTGCTATGGCGTACGCCACTCCAGTACCCGGCTCACAGAAGAAATCGGGCTGAGGACGGAGCCCCGGGAGGAGAGCACTTGTCCACCTCACGTCCACGCATGAGGCCGAGGTTCTGGCCCAGCACCACATGAACAAACTCATCAGAATTAAAAAGGAGAAATTTGACTTTTTGGTTTGCTTGTTTCTTGTTTTTTTGAGACAGGGTCTATGCATTCCAGGCTGGCTTCAAACTTGCAGTGATCCTCTTGCCCTGGCCTCCTGAGTGCTGGGATTGTAAGTGTAGGTGTGCACTGCCACACTCAGCTAAAAAGTATATGCATCCTTTCAAACTGTAAGGTGAGTTAATCTTGTTTTCAATTTTAAGAATCACAAAGTATGGCATTGACCAATTCACCTGGAAATAGCTGTTTTTGGGGGTATTTTTGGCGGTACTGGGGATTGAAGCCAGGATTGCTCTACTCCTGAGCTACATTGCCAAGCTCTTCTAAATTCTGTACATTTTTTATTGTGAGAAAGGTTTGCATTAAGCTGCTCAGGTTGACAACTAACTACAATCCTCTGCCTCAGCACTCTGAGGAGCTGGGGTTATAGGTGTGTGGCACCACACCTGGTACCATGCTATTTTTAATGGAAAAAAAATACAAATATTCTTTCTCAGCACTCAATTTTTCCTTTTTTATGATATTAAGGATCTCATGTCAGTTAAAAATGATTTGATACAACCATGTACAATGTAAATTTTTAAATGCCATTTATCACAAAATAAATAATATATAAATAAAATAAATTTAGGTACCTAAATTTGCCAATTTAAGTGGTCCCATCCTTTCAATAAACTTGTAATTCCTGATTTATTTTTTAAAGGCTACACAGGTCTTGGATAAGACTTAATGTGTTCACTTATGAAATGTCTATAAACCACACTGCAAGTCCTGACAGGTGAAATTTAAACCTTTCCTCAAAAGTCCACTCAAAAACCAAAAGCTCTCTAGGCACGCGGTCCCTCTGCCCCACACTGCTGTGCGGAGGACTCGCCCCGTTCCTGAGCCGTGGGCAGAGTCCTCGCTCCCGCCCGGGTTTGGCTCTCACAGCCCCGCCTATCCCAGGGGTCCATGCGCACTGTTATTCTTGTTACTGTTCTCACTTCCAAGAGAAGAGGAGGAGCTGGTTAAGTCCAGCTGCCCGGAGCCAGAACACCTCAGCTGAGTGCCTCTGCCACCTGACAACAGGATGAGAGGAGTCAGAGGCGTGCACTGCATGGCCCCTGGCCTTGCTGCCCGCAGGAAGGCCCAGGTCTCAGACGGCAAGGGGCAGGGCTGTGGTGGCTGGGGCGGAGGCGTCTAGGGAGGAATCAATGCTCTGGGCCTCTGCGAGGCACAATGACATCACGGCCTGTGACCTCCACGACTCAAGGCAGGGCACAGGAGGAGGTAAAGATGCAGGCTCTTCACAGATAAACCAAGACTGCAAGAAGAAGGTATTCAAGACCCATGTCAGTAAGACGAAAAATAAACCAGGAACATTTGGTCTATAAAGTCCTCCTCTGTACTAATGTTACATAATCACATCGTGTTAGAACGAATTTTAATATAAAAAGAATTCTTTCCATATTCAGGACCAATAAAGGCAAATGGATGTTTAGAAAAACTGTGCAAGTTATAAATCTGATGCTATCCTTTTGTAATATTAAAAAGAAATTCGGGGCTGGGGACATAGCTCAGCGGCACAAGTGCCTGCCTGGCAAGCACAAGGTTCTCAGTTCATTCCTTGTACAAAAAAAAAAAAAAAAAACAAAAAGAAATACGAACATTTTCCAAATGCATAGGCTGAGGGGAATCCACTGAACATCATAAAATCACCTTAAATGAGTATAATATTAAAAAGCATGCATGAAGTGGGAATTTATGTAACTGCCCACGGATTTCAGTAAGGAAAACAGTGACGCCCCGCTCTACCTTTCCTTGGAGAGCTCTGGGGAGAAGTGGGAGGGGAAGAGAGCTGCGAAGACGCATTGGACAGCGCGTCTTCAGCTTGTTTCTTGTGACGTTCCAGGCTTCCTTCTTCAGACAGGGAAAGGATTTTCTTCAAAGCTTGTGGAGAGTTTATGCCTGTAAAAATAAGCAAAGAACTCACATGTGTATTTCAAGACTGAAAAGAAATATTAATGATTAAAAAACTTTTGTATTAAGATTCACTGTTACTGTTTCAATAGATTTATAACAAACTAAACGTTCTTCGTATTCGTGATATAAACAGTAAGATTAAGGAGGCACAAGATACCCGTACTTTGGCTTCTGACTCCGAGGCCTAGAAAAGGTGGCTTTAGATGTTTTACTTCAGATTCCAAACCTCTGTCACCATATTTTAACGGTGTGTTTGGCAACAACAAAGCAAGAACAGACAAGGTGGAAACCTCTGAATATGGGGCTAAGTGGCGCTACTTGAACTCCGGTTTGGGTTGGCAGCAGGTACTTGGTACTACTGAGCAGCTTATCTCGGGAAAGGGGAATGCTGGGAGAAGAGTAAGGGGGCAAGAGGTACAGGAACCAATGAGGAAAGAGAATGAACACACAATCAAGTGAACAGACAGGAGGAGGCAGGAGAGACGCGAGACGTGCTGCGTCACGGAAGCCCGGGAAGGGGCTTCAGGAGGTGTGCAGGGTCTGGCAGGGCCAACACAAAGCGACCCCCCAGTTACTCTTTAGGAGTTGGAAAACACGTCACAAATCTTCCGATGTTACCGTGAGGCACTCTCACCTCCCTCGGAGCTGAAGAACAGAGACTGCTGGAAAGGCACGGCGGCCAGAGCCTGTCCCAACTCACCGCCAGCACCCCACCTCGTGTCGGTGCTCTGATGCTGTTTTGACAGCATCTTTCGGGAAAAAGCCATACTCTGTGTCCCAAAATACTAACACAGACACAGGGTGCGTGAAATACCACGTACACTAAAGCTACGTGAACGGCTGCAGTTTTCCAACAGCCTCCTTCCAAGCTGGTGCTATGCAGATTTGGAAAGAGCCGCCGCTGAAATAATGCAGAAGGCGTGAAGAAGCTAAGCCATGGAGAACCGCATCAGACGGCTCAACCGCGCTGCGCAGCCGCCGTCACGGAGGGCAGGCTGCGCCAGGGCTCAGAACAAGTCCCTGCAGGCTGAGAGCAGGGGCCTCCGCACGATCAGCCAGCCTTTCCCATACCGTGACTCTGCAGCATGCCTGCACTTCCTGAATACAGCTGACAGGCTGTGTCTCAGCGGCAAGGTGCGGGGTAACCCTCACGCAGCGTGCCGGTGCTGCGGTGGGGTAAAGTGATTTCACTGACATACAAGCTTTGTCTGTATTTCTGCTGCTTCCGGCCTACCAGGGCCCTCAGCAAGCAAGAGCTGTGCCCACACCTCGCGTGTGTGAGGCCCTGGTTTCGAGCCCCTGCATCGCTATGATGAAGTCACCACTAGACAATGCATTTAACTTAAAAATACTCTCCGTGCATTTCTGCAACTCACTGAAAAGAAATTAAACAATGTATATGAAAAAAACCTCTGTACTTGTTAAACTTCAAGTAGAGCATCAAAAATTTCTCCACTGTACCTCTCACTTTGCTGTGACAAATGAATGTGGCTAAATGAGATATCATTTATCTGAAAATAGCCCCTCTCGCTGGCAAAAGTAAAGTTTAGCTTGCTGGATAGTTATGTTTTATTAGGCGAAAATAACCACAGAGAAACTCCAGGCTGTTGGGCAAAGCTACCCAAGATAGACTTTCCCCAGAGCTGAGGAAAAGGGCAGCAGGCAGCGCTGCACAGAGCTGCAGGGGGCGCTCACCGAAGGGCGGGAGGTCCTTGACAGGCACCTTCTTCCGGGAAGGGTAGAGGGACACGGCGGGTACTTGCAGGCCCTGGCCGGCCTTCTGCACTGGTGGCGGTGGCGGGGGCTGTGGCTGCACTTTCTGCTGTGACCCAGCCCTGGGCGCCACTGGGGAGGTCTCAGACTTGACGGGCTTTTTGTCACCAGGGTTCTTAGGCACTGAGAAGAGTTTGGTTTGAAAACAGAACAAAGGATTTAAGATGTCTGTAGTTATGTAGGAGGTAATTTTAGAAGTACATGAGCGTTTTCTACAGTTAGAATACTAAAATGCTGTTGCCTTTTCTTTGTTTTGTTTTGTTTTGTTTCCGGTACCGGGAACCGAACTCACGACCTTGCACTTGCCAGGCAGGTGCTGTGCCACTGAGCTAAATCCCCAGCCTCATCCTGTTGCTTTATAAAAGACAGAAACTGCCAGGTGTGGTGGCTCACACCTAGAATCCCAGCACCCCGGAGGCTGAGGCAAGAGGATCAAGCGAGTTCGAGGCCAGCCTGGACTACACCGTAGGATCCTGTCTCAAAAAACAAAACAAAACAAAAAAACAAAAAAAATCAGAAACAGAAAGAGATAAATGACAGAAACTGGGAGAAAAACCTTTGTTACAGAAAATATGAGAATCATGGTAGGATAAAGATACTTACTTTATCAATTCAGCAACCTCAAAGGATGATTATACTGTTAAATGCCAAATTAAAAATGAGAACAGAAAATGTGGGCAGTTCAATGTTATGTGGATGTTTATAAAAAGCACACATGCTAAGAGCTATAAAAGAAAAATCATGACGAATTATTTCTCTCAAATGGTCTCTAAAACATGGACATACCTAGGATAGTTTTTAATTTAATGCTATTAATTGGAATCTATTATCTAGGGAATCTATTATCTGGATTATCTAGGGAGGCAAACAGCAGCCAAGTTCACGCCTTATGCTGAGTATGTCCTTATGCAGTTCCACGGTGGACAATCAAACGCTGCCTGCATAGAATCCTAACACCCCAAATGACTCCGTGCTGTGTGCTTCTTCCAGTTTACACACCCGGAAGCTGAGAATTAGGACACCCAGGCAGCTTGCCTAGGGCCACACTGCTAGTGAGAGGGACAGCAGGTTCTGCGCTCAGACCACACTGCTGGCATGAGCTCTTCCCCGAGACACATGGCACCTGCCCTGCAGTGTCCTGGACATTCTCTGCCTGGGGCTCTTCAGAAAACTCGATATTGCACAGCTAGCACCTTCCAAAGCTGCCCATGGAAGAGCTGCAAGTGGCTGGATTTTTATTAACTTTCAATTTCACTTGCTTTTTATTTGTGGTACTGAGGACTGAGCTGGGCAGACACTCCAGACTCTACCTGTGACCCGTCCTTTTCTTTTTTTTTTTTCCTCCCGTACCGGGAACCGAACTCACGACCTTGCGCTTGCCAGGCAGGCGCTTTGCCGCTGAGCTAAATCCCCAGCCCAACCCGTCCTTTTCATTTCCAAGACCCAGGGCCCACAGTGCTGCCCAGCATGTCCTCAACGCCTGCATTCAGGCAGTTCTCCCGTCTCAGCCTCCCAACTTCAGGCACCTGCCTGGTGCAGTCTGGCCAGGTTTTAAAGGCTACAGACCATGCACGGGTACTGGCTGGGCTGGGACGAGAGCAGGAGTAGTCTGAAGAGCCACACTGTCCTGCACACTGACCTGGCTGGACATGAGGGCCTGGCCCAGCGCGAGGCAGAGGCTCCACCTCCGGACTACGCTCGGCCCTGCCTGTCACACCCACACCTCTGCACAGGGGCCACTGTGCTGCAGGCCCGCAACCGCGCCGGGAGGACTCACGCGTGCTGGTCGCCGGCTCGCACTGCAGCGACAGTGTCTGCAGGCTCTCCTCGTCCATCTCGAGCTCCAGGTCGGACAGGTACTGCTTCACTCTGCGAGCCATCTGGGCGTCTTCGTAGAGCTTCTTGGCGTTGAGGAAAGAGCTGCGGCGCACCCGCTTTTTGTGGCCGCCTGTCTGGGCAACGTCGAGCACTGCGGCATTTGCGCTGCCCTGGCTAAGAGACCTGTGGAGGGAGGAGGAGAGAGAGGCGACTCACTCTGGCACGGTGACTGCGAAGACTGACAGTCTGCATTCACAAGGTCACATGCGTCATTCCAGTAAGCACACCGTTAACGAAGACAGTATTACAGACTCAAAGATCTGTGGTTAAAGAAGAGCTACACGTAACACGTGTGTAAACACACAAATTTGGCACCTTTTCTGTTCCAACTAAGAAATTCTGTTTTCTACCTCTTTAGAGCATCCAAGTTCTCTTAGAGAAGCCAGCAAACAATAATTACATAAAAAGCTCATGCAAGAATACACAGCTCTAATCATTAAGATCTACCATGTTAAATTTACTGCTTTACAAGAAAATGTTCTGTATAGATTTAAGTAAATTAGCCACAATGTTCACAATTAGTTTCTTATTCCTTGAGTAGAATGCGGTAAGATTTTTTAAGTAATAAGGTCAATCTGTTAATACTAAAGTCATGCAAAATAAACATTTGTATATGGAAACTACTTAGCACATATATGGTTAAGAATTATTTTTAACAAGGATTGGTTTATACAGAATGAAAGTAGTAGTTAGTTGAGCTGTAAAAAATTTGGTTTAAACACCTGGGGCACCTTTTACATTTACATGATTTGCTTCTACATATCTGTGCAACAACAGTATTTAATCGCACAGCTTTTCCTTCTAATACACCCCCACCCCCGCTCCATTCTAGGCTCTTCTCATTTTCAAGACACACAGATTATATGGAAGTAAAATCTCTCTGGGAGCTCAGAAGTATGCCCAGCCTATAGCTCCCCAGAAGAGTCCTCAATCATTTCCCAGCTCTGGTGTTTCACGACCTCAGAGGCACAAGCCCCACAGCTGACACTGAGGTCAGCCTGCCATTGGAAACTCTGCTGGAGAGCGGTAAGGCGAAACTGCAAAGCGCCAGAAGGACAGGTAAGAAACGCTGCAAGGGGCCGAGTGCGGGCTGAGCTCTCTGCCACTTACCCCAGACTGCGCCATTTCTTCTTCCTGTAAGTGAGCGCCGAGGAGATTGGAGCACGGGTGTAGAGAGAGACAGAAAGGTCACAAGCTCAGAAAGAAAGGACTGGACTTTGGGGTAAGCAGTCCTAGCAGCCCACAGACATTCAACCGACCACCACTTTCCTAGAAGCATTTGTTCTGGCTAAAGACAAATGTAAATTTTTTTGTTCTAGAAGACAACAGACTAGGTTTGTCTCCCACACTGAACGAATTGTGTGGATACTGCTTATCATTTGGGGCATTTACAAATTTTAGTTTATACAACCACTTAGGAGTTATGACTCTACGAGTCAGTGTCCTCAGAAACAACCAAGAAATACTTGCAACTCAGGTTAGATGAAAACTGTCTGAAGGACAAGCTGGTCTTACTGTAGCCAACGTGTACTTAATGCCAAATAAGCATTTACTTTACAGTGAAGCTCAGCGGTGATTCTGAACCAAGAGTAATTTCGCCACATGGCAAATATACACATTGCAATCTGTTTCCCTGAAGGGTAAGCTTTAAGACCTCTCCAGTCCCACGCGTACCGGGGGCTGACCCACTCACCGAGTCCTGAACATGAGGGCTGGGTCCATGTTTACTGAAGCCATCCGGCCCACATGACGAATTTCCTTGGCAATCATCCTGAGCTTCTCAAAGTTGACCAGCCCATCTACTTTTGAGTCATTTCCTGCAATTCAGCAGAGGAGAAAAAGGAAATCAGGTGGCACTTGGTCCATGCTTCTGCTAGACGTGCAGGCAGCAACCCCGTGCCCGTCCTACCCTCGTGCAGGAACGTGAGGTCCTTCTTGATGACTGGGAACAGGGGGATGATGGGAGGCTGCAGGTTCTGGCTGTTGAGCACATTGCGGTATTTGGCCATGTTTCTGGAAGGATCAAACAGGTCTTGGAGGTCCTGAAACAGCTTTTCGTATTTATTGGGAAGTTTTTCCCAGGTGGTCCGAAGTCTTGCCACTGGTGCCAGGTTCAGGCCACTGACAGAGGAGAGAAGAGAAGTAGGGTCAGTTAGTCACATGAGCTCTTCTGCGTTATACGTACAGCTATCTAGAGAAGGGCACGAAAGAAACCAGACAGTAACCCTGGGTCACGAGCACGGCAGACAGAAGCAGGGTCAGGGTGCAGTCCCTGGACTCCCCTCTCCTACCCGTCATACTCTGATGCTTTGTGTCCTTCTCCTACAGTTCAGAGTTCCCTCAAAGGCCCATGTGGTGAAGGCCCAGCCTGTGGAGCTCCCTGAGGTGATGGACAGAGCCTCTAAAAGGCAGGGGCTAGCAAGTGGGAGCCTCCATTCCAGGTCAAAGGAAGCGTGCCATCGCAGGGTGGGGACCCACTTGCTCTTGACTGTGTCCCAGCCCTGAGTGGAACGGCTGTGCTCCATCATGTGTTTGCACAATGGTGTACTGCCTGGCACAGGCCCAAAAGCAATGGGCCAAACAAGGAGAGAGGGTGTTATGGTTTGTGTCTGCATGTTCCCCCAAATCCTCATACAGTCATGAGGTGGGCTCCTAGATTTCTTTGATCCATAGTCCAATGCTGGGATTATGGGTGTGAGAGCTACACTGGCCCTGGGGTGGACAGTCTGCATATGTAAGGGAGAGAAAGAGGCTGCTTGCTGCCACTCCTCACTTTTGCTGTTTTCTGCCGCCATAAACAGTTGCCCTCTGCCATGTGCCACTCTGCCTTGAAGCCAGCCGAGTATGGACTGAAACCTCCACAAACTGCAAGCTAAATAAACCCTTCCTTCCTTAATACTGGGCATCAAGTATATTGTCTCAGCATCGAGAGAAAAGTAACTAAGACAGATGGAAACCTGCAAAATCCCTCTTTAACTTGATTATCTCAGGTGTTCTTATCGTAGCAGACAGATGACTAATACTCTGTCAGCAAGACCACTGTGTCGGTACTGTTCTTTCTGCACGCAGTATTTCGGTCATAGCAGGCATCTGATAAAACAGACCGGGCAAGCATTACAGAGCACTGAAACCAAACAAAAGTCACCACAGTCATTAGAGTACGTCAGACTCTAGGAGAGAAAGCGATTAATGACCACCGTCAGGGTCACCCTAACTCACTGCTCCCGTTTGTGTTTTCTTCTGGGCTCGCTCTACGCACTTGAAGAGAAGAAAGTGAGCATTTCCTGGGCACCTGCCTCGTGCTGTCTGGTGGGTCATACATTACAGTAGTTAACGCTCCTGGTAACTCTGTGGCGTGTTACTATTTTACAGAGAAATAACTGATGTTCACAGGAGTTCAAATAATTTGTCCAAAGTTAGAGTTTAAAGAAAGCGAAGTGGCAGACACAGACTTGCTACTCTCCGGATCACCACATGGGAGATTTTAAATTGAGCATTAAGAATCAGAGAAAACAGTTATTGTTTTGAATCAGTAACAGCCTTGCACGTGTGAGGCCTGGGGCTGAATCCGTGACACTCACAAGGGCGAGTCAGTTACCAGCTCTGTACGTCTGTGGCTCTCCTGAACGCAGTGACTGCGGCATTTTTTGTATGGAGCGGGACTGCGTTGGCTGACAGACACTCTCACCTGATGATCGCAAACATGGAGTTGAAGTTCTTGCATTCCCTGCAGTGCAGCGCTATCTTGATGAAATGCTTAATGATCTTCATCCTCTTCAGCTGGTTTGTCTCTCGAAGAATCTCAGAGGCCACCCAAAAAGTTTCCTGGTTAATGACTTCCTCAAACTTCTTCAGGTTGGCACAGCTGGTTTTCGACCTTAGCTTAAATAAGTCATCTATGTATTCGGTAGGCTCAATGTTTCGGAAGAGTTCAAAGTTCCGCATGGAGAGCTGCGTGGAGACTTCCACAGTGCTGAGCTGCAGCAAGGAAATCTGACTCTCGCGCAACAACTCCTGCGCATCCTCGTCTGAGCAAAGGGTTTCGGTTTCCATGTTGTTTTTCAGATAATACCTGTTTCCAGAAAAACAGAAAGGTGTCGGGCATGAAGCCTATGCAGCAGCCTCGTAACATCCCAGCTCTTAAGGACGGTTAAGAGAAGCTGGAATCGAATGGCAACAGATTTCTTTTCAACCAAGTTGGGCAGTGCTGCCCTGGTCACTAGATCACAGAGCACCCACAGAAAAATCGGGAGGGAAATGAACAAATTTCATGAAATTTCTTTTGTACCAGCTGTAATTAGTTCTTCTCCTTTCCAAATTATTTTACCCTTTTGCTAAAGATGACAAGAGAGCTCTTTTTCAGTTTAAACAAGGGCCCGGGCCCTACGGAAGGCAACAGAGCAGACGAAGCATCATTCTGTTTCCCAGAGAGCGGGAGAGAACACTGGTGGGCCCAGACAAGACGCTTTCAGATCTGCCGCCTCCTCAAACAGCCAGGAAACCTACCAGCTGTCTCCCTCTGTTGGACCCTATGAATGAAACAACCCTGAAACACATTTTAATTCTTAAATATCTGGCTCTTCACAAAAGCCCCACAGGACATCGAGGCAAGCTTATCCCTGTCAGGTAAAAAACAGGACTCTATCATGGAACAGATCCGAGAGGGGCCATCGTTCTTCTCTTAGGCAAACTGTTGAAAACTGCATCAGGTGTTTGCTCTGGGACTTACTTTCTTTGGAGAAAGCAGATTCTTTCTCTCAAGTAAAGTCTATAAATGAGGAAGGGGAGTGAGCACATGGGGGTCCCACAAACTGCTCTTTTCCACACTCTGCAAGACCTCGGTGACAGAAGACACAGCCCTTGGCCTCAACGCTCACTGGTGTCACGCTGTCCACACTGATTACTCACCAAGCCCAGGACAAGAACCCATCTGAAACCACCCAGGACAGTGGGTGTGAAACATGAGTCTGCAGCTCAAGAACTGCCCAGCTCCACCATGATCACAGCTATCAATGTACATTTAGATGAGAGCTGAGAAAAACCACCCTCTATGACTGAAACTGCCTGCTAGCACTAGGGCTGCAGATACAAGTAAGAGCAGCAAAGTTGCAGCTGACAGCAAGAAAACACAGGTTTTGAATGAATTAAATCACAGTAACCTATTACATGAAAAAGTCATGTGCAATGGAACACACCACAAAATGAGACAATTCTTAAAAAATTATTTATGCAGCTACTTTTCATGTAGTGCAGAATCCAATCATTACATGAGAGCCAAAACTTAAATGTTTATTCAACTTTCAATTATTTGTGGTTTAAGGACAAATTACACATCCCTGTCCATGGCAGTATCGCTGACGGGAATGGCACAATCAGCGCAGCGTGACAGAGGTGCTTACAAGCAAGTGTGACAGGCCCACGCTCTGCAGGTGCTGGAGTTCTGGGTTAGGAAGCACTTTCTGCAGTGCCCCATACCATGAGAGCCACAGCCTTCCCGGTGTCTCAGCCTGACCTAGCGCAGCTCCTTGAGCCGGGTGTGCGGGAGCACAGAGCACACACACGCCCAGGCTTACTGTCACTCCACACCAGCTCGGTCCACTGCACTGTCAGCAAGGATCCCACAGGGCAAGCCTGAGAAGTCAGCGCTTGCGTGCTGGCGGTCAGCGACAGCTCTCAGATCACCTTTATAGGAGGTCGGCAGTCCACCACGCATACTGAGCCTGATCCGAACTACAGTGAGTGTGCTGGGGAGGGACACCATAGCTGGTCATTTAAAACCTCTCCACTGTGCTGCAGGGAGACAGTGCATACCTTCCGCTCAGCTGTATTCTGTCAGCAAGTTTGGACAGCTGATCTGGAAGTCGCCTCTGTTTGATGACACCCTCGGGGGTGACGGAGACCTCACACAGGGAGTACTGATCTGGGGTGGCAGTGATGGCAAACTCCCTGATCGCCTGGATGACCACTTCCTTCGCCGTGGTGTCCTTACTGATCATGATGTATCGGCTTTGCTGATCGGCCTTAAAAACCCTCAGCACTTGATCCGGCAAGTCTGGAGGAAAAGAAAAGCCACATGGAATTCAGTGCAGCGCATTCGCTACACAGGACTGTGACGAGGCGAAGTAATCTGAGAAGAACCTCCTTAAGACAGTGAGAGTAAGCGTTCGCCTCCCCTGGGCTCGATCCATAGGCTGTCTTGTAGATTGTACCTTTGCTCCAGAAGGCTCAATGACCTGCACACAGTGCAAATGGCACAGCACAAGACAAAGAAAGAGAAAGTTCAACCTAATCTTCATCATATGGAATCTAATCTATGCCTCCTCTTATTTATTAGATATGGCTTGGCATATCCGATGATTATCTTTTTGTGTCAAAACAGAAACAAGTCTAGAGAGCTTAATGTGCCCAAGGCCACATCAAAACAGTCTGCAGAAAATGACAAGTGGTTCCGTTGATTTGGAATTTAAATTGTATCCTGAATTTTAGCATCTGATATAATCTGCACCAACTGAGAGAGACACGAGGCATCACTGCCACGTTACCGACAGTAAGAAGTGTGGGCGCGCTCACCAGGAGTGGCACTGAAGTCCAGGATGCGGTGATGGGACTGCAGCAGGTCGGGGTTGCTGGAAGACAAGGTCCCACTGACGGGCAAGGCCGTTGGGATATGCTTCGTCTGCCGCAGTCCTACTATGCTGTCATCTTGGGACTGACCAATCCCAATATCACTGCACAGAGGAAAATCAGAAAAGGAAATTGTCAGCAAGCTACAATGTTACAAGTCATATTCATTAAGCATGCAATTTATGTAAAAATGTCACTAATAAATTCGGTTAAAAATTGCAAAAGCCACTACTGCTGAAGTGCATCCAACTCACTCTGCTGTGTCCTGGGTATACATGTTCTTCTCTAACACCTGCCTCTTTAACTGAACAAGCCACAAGCATTACAAGTAGTTTCTCAGCACAAAAATGCATTGAAGGAATATCCTCTTCAGTTTCTGATGGAAATGGATTTAAGTAAAAAGCACACTACGAAGAATATACTCACTCATCCAATGCTTTTCCATCAGAAGGATACGCTGTTTTATAAGCTGATCCCTAAGAACTGATAAAGCTGAATAAAATGAATAAAAGGGGAAAATCCAAACTTCTCTAATTTTATTCACCCATACTTAGGGAGAAAAATAGATCACTATGGAGTTAAATGTAAAGAAATCCTGACAGAGATATTATTGCTTAATTATAGGACATAAAAGACCAGTGATGCATGGTGACATTTCCTAGCATCACAGAAAAGGCTATGGAAATCCAATGAGTCACTTTTAATTCTCTGTTCAAACTTCTAGTTATACATTTTAGTTCCCAGAAAAACACTGGTTCTTATTAATGGCTACAAACTCATTTCCATTTATAAAAAGCTGCTGGTGTGGGCAACTGTTGAAATATGATTTAATAACATATAAACTTATTTCTAGATTGAAGGATCAAGTATTTCCATAACAAAATATCAAGTAAAATAGTGCACCTGAGAACTAGATATAAGCAAGTGGTTACAGTTTAAACTAGCTTCTATAAGCTTTTTGAAATAAAAATCAGTGAAATTATACTAAGATTGCGATATAAACTAAGCCATCATAAATAAGATGTGTAAGGTGAGTCCAGGAGACAGTTACATGTCTATTTAAGTGTACACAGGGAGACTGTCCTGCCGAAGATAAAACCCTTCATTCCCATTCGCAGAATTCTGTTTACAGCCATACAGTACAGTCTTTGCCAAAACTACTCAATGTGACGCATGGCACACGGTCACCATGGGCTCGGGCCACTCCCGCACCGATGGCCACGGATACGAGCACACTGCCTCCCACGGTGCTTCTCAGTGAGCCGCTAACACTCACGTGACAATCCACGCAGAGACCTGGGGACACCCTTGGACTGAGAGCACTTGGTATCAAGACCTAACTCAGAATCACCCTACGTGAGCACAGCCTCTAAGCGTCTGGCCTCTCCAAGTCTTTCGCTGCTACTGACGCTGCTTCTTAGTCTGTGCCGAATGTGCAGGCTGATGACCGACTTCCTTTTTCTCTGCGTTCTCCCAGCTTTCTCTACCTACCTGGCAACCAAGTCTGAGTTCTGCCAGGCTTGTGGCCCAGCCTTGTCTTCACTCTGAGCACACCGCTCTACCCACCCATCACCGCCAGTGTGCCGGGACTGACGGAGAGATACCCCAACAGCACATCAACACTTGGAAATGTCTAATTTACAGTTTAGGAGCTTTATTAGGAAAATAAAATCCTCACAGGCTAGGAAACAAAAACCAAGACCCCCATTAACACATACTAATTTCTAGAAAAGTTCAATGATTTGTACTATATCAGTTTAATAGACTGTAACAGATGCTAATAGAGCCTATAAACCTTTAAATATAATTTCCTTTTCCATTTCAATTACATTGTACACTTTTTCAAAGAATTTTTGTAAGAAAATATTTAACTGAGCCTATCATATATTTGCTTAAAATGTTTTCTCGGTGTTTTAAAATCAAGCTAATTCTCTATTTTTTCTCTTGTCTAGATTTTGAGTATCTTTCCAAGCAGACACAGAACAGAATTAGATGCAGCACTCTCGTGCGGAGCTCCTTGGCGACACCCACACTGCAGAAGGACGGCCATCCCCGACCTTGGGTGAAGCACTTCCACGAGTACTTCGCAAGGCCACGCTGACTTCCGTCTCATTTCTTTTCAAGGTTCATATTTAAGTCATGGTCAAACACAATTCTCAGATCTTTTTTTGGTGTTGCTACACTGCTAATAATTCTGCATTTAGGCAATTTATTTTTTTTATTCACTTAAACGTAAGTTTTTCACCCAGAGTCACTTTAAAAATTAATTCCTATTTCCTATAAATGCCGGCTGCCCTAATCCACTGACTCCTAGAAACTTAATATAAATATCTTTACAAGCTGTAATTAAAGCCATCACTTCCCACACTTATCCTTATGGTTCTAAAAACAGACGTTTTCTTTAAAAACCACCACTTCAATGGCCAAACCACGAGTCTGACACTCGGTCCATCAACAGTATGTTTCAAATTATATTTCTCTAATCTGTGGATGAAAATTTTATCTGAAATGGAATTTGCAAAGCAAGAAAAACATGCTTAATGTAATCCTAAGTGTCTGTATACATAGTTTCTCTTTAGACACATTAAATTATCAAAGAAATACATTAACCTATGTTTTTCAATGTATTATCTTTTATAGCACGGCACTTTAAGGAATATACAATAATTGCACATGGCATTCTGAGTTCCTTAATACTTTAAAAAAAAAGCTGATGCTACTCAAGCTTTGTATAACATTCCCAGACTCAAGAACTGACATAAATAAATAGGCAAAGACGCACACCTTAAAAAAAAAAAAGGCATCAGGGACAAAGCTTAAAGAAAAAGGGCTAGTCTTGTCTAGCCTGAGCTCCCACAAAGGGTGCTCTCTTTTTGAAACTTCTCAAGTTCGGTTCCTGACACACGAGCTGCAACTGGCTGGTGTCAACCGCCTCGTGACTCACTACCCTTCCAGCCAGACCGACTCGTCACTGCCAGTGCTCCCCATGGCCCCAGAACCAGCGAATGAGCGGCAGGGGCCACTGAGAACAGCCGCAAGAAACCAGACCTCTCTCAACATGCTGCACGTGGAGCCGGTGGGAGGACGGAGGGAAAGCCCACACTGCGTTACTCACGCAGTGGCCAGTTATGTAACCGAGTGAGAAGGAAGGAGGAGGAGGACGGACGCAGGCCGGGACAGCAGTGATGACTGCGACGGTGGGCGGCAGATGTGGAAGAGGACGCACGCTCAGGACCATAGGCAGGTAAATGCGATGAAAACAAACCCGCCTGCTTAAGGTTGCCTCTAAGAGTCGGCCCGTGAAAGCCTGGAACACTTACCGACTCCTGCACAAACAGTAATGGCACCACTGTCTCTGCCGATTGTTTTATCACACAAAACGAGGCACAGAGCTCATGCAGACTTACTTATATGGTTTCTGAGGCAAGATGCTGATGCGAGTCTTGTCGAGTATCTTTTTTAACTTGTTCCTCCCTCCGACAGTGTTGGCTTTACTCTTCTTGTTCACCTTCTCAAGTCCTATCACCTGCTCCACGTCCACAGCCAGGTCTGGGATGGAGTAGCGGCTGGCCTTTTTGATGTCCCCAATTTTAGGTAGGTGGGGGGCACCATTTCTCTTCTCCTCTGACAATCTTGTTAGAAGTTCTTTAAATACTGAAACAAACGGACACAGAAGCATCACAAAACAGCAACTGCAAGAAACCAGAACAATGCCAAGGCAATTACAGAACTCAGGAAGACTTCTGTTACCAAAACTGAAATTCCGTAGAAAAACCACTTCTCGGTGACACCAAGAATCTGCCTTGTATGCTGCTCTGGCAGAGTAAGATTAAGAAAGCAACGTACTCCTTACAGGTACTTCAGTGTTTATCAAGAGAATATAGATTTCACTTATCAATAAAGAGATAAAAGTAATTTTATGGTCCTCAGAACAGATTTGGATTTAGATCTAACTACATATATAACAAATTCGGTATTTATGCGTTTTACTACACTTTTACCCTTATGGTATTTGAAATATTACGTACAGAAATGACTCCTTTCACAATTGAGATCTAAATGTAAAAACAAACATCACTCCCAAAAGCAGAAAAATCAAAGTATGCAAAAATACTTACCAAATAAATTTGTTTTCACAGTGATAGACAGATGTGTGTTATTTCTGAGAATTTCCATGGCTTTTGACAGTTGGATATTTTCAAAGTTTTGACCATTTACTTCTAATATCTAAAAATGAAATTATAAAATGAGTGTCAGTGTCACCACTCAAGAGAAAAAAGATGCTAAAACCCACCCTCACTCGGGGCTAGGAGACCACACCTGATCCCCGTGTTTCAAGCCTGCCTCGGCCGCTCTGCTGCCCGGATCAACGCTGTCAACGAAGATGCCAAAGCCCTTCTCAGAGCCTCCGAGCAGGAGAAAAGGCAGAGGAGCCTCTCGCGACGGCTTGGTCAGCGTCATCAGCCTTCTTTTGGCTTTCGCGGCACAGGCGATGTTCAGCAGCCTTAGGTGTCCTCCCATCTTCTACAAGAGCAGCGAAAGGCTGGTGTCAGTGCAAAGACAGGTGGCACAAAAGGAACCGAGAGCTCATACTTTAAAAAAAAATAAACTACCACCTCTCTTTCCAGATTATTTTCAAATTCTTCTAGAAATCGAGTCATTGCAGGGTCTCCTTCAAAGTCATTGAAGTGATTGTTCACCCACAGCAGCACTACCCGCGTCACCTGGAAAAGCAGTTTCGGTAAGTTGTCTTCTTTTTAGTGCTAAGACTGAAGTCATTTCAGAAAAGATGCTTAAGCTTCAAATAATTTACCTGATATTGCACAAACTACAACAAAACTTTCAACTAAGGTATTATTCATAAAAAAATGACCATCGGAAAATAGGTGTACTTGAAACGCAGCTTCGTCAGGGGGCCCTGAATCTGTGGAGGTATTTAACTTAACATCTTGCCATACTTTCAAAGCATTCTTAAAAGAAGTCAAAATGAATGCCAAAGTACAGTAAAACCCAAACAGGTTAATACAAAAGAAGAGAGAAACTAAAAAATAAGGGTGAAAGGACAAAGAAGACAAGGAAGTGAGCAGCGTGAACCTAGAAAGATCCCAAGGGAGGAGGTAAGACTGCTGCATGTCGCTGGCTACCCAGGCCGGCCTAGGCAGAGCCCCTCGGCCAGTGCTGAATCTGCATGGAATGGTCTGACGGGACAGGGACAGTCGCAATGGACAGCGCTGCCCAGCGCTCACTGAAACAGGGTGACTGCCCCACCATTGAAACAAGGTAACGTTACCGCGACAGTTACGGTAACTGTGGGAACTCTCTCCCAGAATAGAGAATGCAGGCTCCATGGGTCCAGACGTAAGGTTAGCTTATGTTCCAACATATTTCCAATACAAGTAAATGTAAACATTTGGTGACCAATTTATTGGCCTTTGGATTTAAAGAAAAAAAAATCTTATTTCCAAGGTTGAACTTAGAAATCTACAACAAGAAATAATATCTGCATCAATTTTTTTGTTTAAAAAGTTTTCTCATATTCTATCAAATTGTTCTCAACTCATACTCTATTAAATAACCTAATCTGTAAATTTATACTGTAATATTTCATATTGAAGAGGCAGATATAATGCATTTCCCACCTTATCCCTGAGGGTCGGGTCATTAAACCACTCCAGTAACTTTTTGCCCACTTCCATTGGGCTAGACAGAAAAGTCCGGTAGGTCAACAGGAAGTCTTCTATGAACGTTGGATCCACCACCGAGTGCTCTTCCACCAGATGCATCGTTAGCCTTTCTGAGGTGCCCTGCGACAAACAAAAGGCTCAGTCACTACCTCCAATGACCACTTCTGCAGTGCCTGCATTTCACACCTGGAACGGAACGTGAGCTGGGCAGTAGCATCCGCAATAACTAATAGACTGTTACTCATCAAGAAATGTAAAGGATTTTTTTGTTACTACTGATAACCTGTAAGAGGCAGTACACTTAGGAAAGAAAAGAGGCTCCTGTCAGGACACTGCCGAGGGAGGAGGGCGCTTCCTGCCTCACCTTGATGACGATGTGGCCCTTCCTGGTTCCAGTCCGGTCAAGCTCTCGGTGCTCTTTTACCATGACGATCTCTCCTTCCTCCTCAACTTTCTGCATGTTCTTCTCTACTTGGTTGAGGATTCGGCAGTAATCTTGCTGTGCGATGCAGACAAACTGGGATACAATGAAAGGCACACAATGATAATGAAGTACTTGCAAAGGACCCATCGTGCTAATAATTCAGTGTTTTAACTATTAAACACTGACATTTTTCCCTGTCTTTCCCATAGTCTCTACATTAATGCAGTAATGAACCTTAACCAGACTTCCCTACTTTTAATATATTTTCTTCATTAGTCAAAAAAATTTAGTTTTTAGACTCTGCATTTTACATTCAAAGTCCTACTAACTAAAAAACCAGAAGGCAAGACTACAAAGTCCTTTTCATGCTGCTTTCACAGTGGCTTTTCCACTGGGGGAGGAAAGGAATCCTGGGCCAACAGAGAAAAAAATTATCTTGTTTTTGGATTTCTTTTGGAGATTTTACAAAGGTGACAATTTAAAAATAATGGTTCTAATGAAAGACACAGAAACTCAAAGACACTATACACTGCAATAGGTACATGGATTGCTGGTCACATGGAGGACAGGTCACTCCACAAAGCCCGTTCGCAGGCGGCCACAAGATCATCCACAACTGGCAGAGTTCCAACCATCACGCTCACTCCCCCTAAAGAGTGAGCAGGCAACCTTATCCGGCAGGACTTCTCAGTGATCCCCCAGGAAAGCACAGTTCAGGGCCAAGCCCCCGGGGAATTACATTTCCTAGTAGTTTTAATAAAGAATCAGCGCAGTCCTTGGGAGGGCGTGGGTCCGGTCTGCCTCTCAGCACGGCCACTGTGAGCGCATTGAAACGGACGCATAGAAACGGACGCATAGAAACGGACGCGAGCCCGCGTTCCGGTTCTACAAACGATGCCGATACTGGCCTGGCAGGGCACGCGCCTCTCATCCCAGTTCTGAAGAGGGATGAGGCAGGAGAATTGCACCCAGTCTCAAAAAATAAAAAAGCCTGGGAATGTAGTTCAGTGGGAAGGCCCTAGGTACAAACCCCAGTATGAAGGGAGGGGAACACCACGGAAACGGCCCGGACAGACCAGAGCCAGGGACAGAACCCAGCCGGCCACTGCATGGACTCCCGGCTCCGGCCGCGCTGCCCGGGGCCCCGGCCTGCTGGGCAGGGCGAGCGCGGGAAGGCGC